TGGGTCTGTTTTGTTTATTCTTGTTTTTTTTCCCCCCCCCCCCCCCCTCCTTGCCAGGGTTCTGCAGTGCTCCAGGCAGCGAGTTTTGAAGCAGGATGGGAAAAAGACGCTGTGTTCCTCCACTTGAGCCCAAGCTGGCAGCTGGCTGTTGTGGGGTGAAGAAGCCCAAATTGTCTGGGAGTGGAACGCACAGTCATGGGAATCAGGCCACAACTGTACCCGGCTCCAGTTCAGGTCCTCTTCAGAACCACCAGCATACAGACGGGAATAATGGAAGGGAGAACGTATCGGACTTGACTTTGGGCCCAGGAAATTCCCCCATTACTCGAATGAATCCCACTTCAGGAGCTCTGAGCCCACTTACTCGGCCCAATGGAACTGCCAACAGCACCAAGAACCTGGTGGTGACAGCGGAGATGTGCTGCTACTGCTTTGATGTACTCTACTGTCATCTCTATGGTTTCCCTCAGCCACGACTCCCTCGATTTACCAATGACCCCTAGTGAGTAAATCCATGTGCGGGAGGAAAGCTGCGAAACCAGGATCCAGAGCTGCGGCGTGGTTGGGGAGGGATGAAGGGTTTCCTCTGGGGAGCGGGAGAACTGGTATGCGGGTGGCGGGGGGGCATTCTGCCGCTCGCGTTGTCTCCCAGAAACAAAAACCGATGCGCTCTAAGTGCAGCAAAGAGTAAAAACGTTCTGTTATGCTTGTCGGTGGAGATGAGTAGAGCTTTGGAGAGTGGCCTGCAAGGGAGAACATGCTTAGCTCTACAGACAGAGCTAGGCAAAATACGAGGAAGGGTGGGGCTTCTTCAGCGCGCAGTCTAACGTGTTGCGTGAGACGTTGCATACTTTATCGAGGAGTGCAAACCCACTTCGTGATAACGTTCTCTTAAAGTTTGCTCCCTTCTTTGTAAATAGACTCCTCTGCAAAAAATTAATTGCACTGTGCCTCCCATAAAATTGTGCTAAAAGAATGAGTGGAACTGAAATGAAGAGTTTTCAGAAAACAGTAAAATAACTCCATTAATTTGAAGAGGATCCTGCTTCTAATGTGAGGCACTAACTCGGTGAAGGGGCAAGGAGAGAGGCTTCCTTCGGTGCAGTAGGTGGAAGGAAATAAAGTAAGAAGTTGAGACAAGTTCCCGGCTCATCCTGAAACAAGTGCTGAGCTGGTGAGAATTGGACCAGGACACTCACAAGGGGTTCAGCTGTCCAACTTAATGGGTTTAGCAGGGAGGGGAACCAAAAATTTGCCAGTCGTGGAACTGAGAAACTGTGTTGTGGTGACAGTGCTAGCTGGGCAATATGGGAAGAAATGGAGAGTTAACTTTCAAGGATGATACCAAGGTTAAGAAGAAAGGAGGTGTGCTTGAGAAGAAGTGAGGAGAAGGATTTATGAAGGTATTTTGCTTTGGTGAAATTTCACTAATGTTTGTCTGGAGGTTGAATGCGTAGGTGTGGAAATGTTAATGTTGTTAAAATGTTTGATGGAAGAATTATATGGGAAAGATCAATGACAGATACACCTTCTGACACTCCTCCAGGGGCCACCTCCAGAACAACAGACAAAATAAAAAGTTGTTGACATCCTTAATTCAAGTTAATGAATTTTAAATTGATGTAAAGGAACAATGGCTTAGGCAGGTCAAGGACTTTGCGTGCATCGAATGTCTCCCCACCTTATTGGCTGTCAGCGTAGATGTAGGCTGTGCATCCCTGCAGTTATTATCCGAGCGGGATTATGGATACACGTTCCGAATGCTACGGCAGACTAAGCTGTTTAAAACTGTAAATACAAGTCAATGGAGAAATACTCTGGACTGGAATATAGAATAGTTCCAGGGACTCCCCGAACTGAAATATTTCTGTTGTTGTTTTTCATACCTAAGCTAAGTGGGCCCCTTTTAGAAAATGATACCTTAGTCTGATTATTAGTTTGTCGCTTGAAATGCAAAGGGGTTTTTTGTTGTTTTGTTCTTAAGTCAATAAGAGAGATTCTTTTATACAGATTCATTATTTTGGCATTGAAAGACATTTCTAGCTGGATTTTGTTGCTATTTCTGTTGACTAGTTTCAAAAAGGGCGTTCCTTCAGGAATCTCAGCTGTGTGAATTTTATGCGCAAATTTGAAAAGGTAAAAGTCATTCACTGAGCATTTCTGTGCTGATAATTTAAAAGTCTTTTAGATCAGCACTCCAAAGTAAAATTCGCTCTTCTCCTGTGTTCCCCTCCAGGCAAATGCCTACCTGAATTTTCTTGCGTTTCAGGATTTATGCTGTTGCTTCTAGCAAATAGTTGTGTGTACCCCAGGGAAAAGCATGGGGTTTGCTCTCTTGTAGAGCCACACACAGGGATGATCCGTCACACACGAGATGGTACTGCAACAAACTTCAAGCCAAATGTTATCAAATATAAGAGTAAACTAAGTGAAAATACATAAATAATTTGTGTTCTTGTCCTTTGTAACATAATTAATGCCAATGTAAGAGATCTTTGAACAGAACAAAGGTATATACCAGAAGTGCCTCCGGACAGACAGAAAAGAGACTGTTGATGGAAGGAGTAGAAAGATGCACAGGTTTGTCCCAACCTATTTCTCAGATAGGAGACCTTTTAAATGGGTGCTGAATGCAAACGTAACGATAGATGTAGTCGTGAAGGTCAGGATTCTGCATAAACAGGGTAATAACATACAAGCTACAGAGTTATGACTTGAAAAACAGCGTGAATTCCAATTTCCAGCTTGAGAGGATATGCACATGGACAACAACCTTGATGGGAATTATGGAGCTGGTAGATACCTACAGAGTAAGGGAACCTTACCTACATGTTAGCAGCAACGTTCACACACCAGTGCAGAGAAGGTGGCATTGCAAGACTCGTATTTACATCTGAATTAACTTGGTAAATGAAGAAAACATCCCGTTTGCTATTCAGGTTACTGAAAATATTACAATTTGGAATCTGTATGGCATGCAAATAGTGAATTGGTTACTTCTTCCAATTCTGTACTTCGGTCTATGATTTTTTTAATGGTAGGTATTACAAACTGGTACTGAAACTACACCATGCAAGTTTCTAGTTGCCATGCAAGCCAAATAATAAGATACTTGCAGCATAAAAATCTGTACCATAACAGGTTTTTTCCTAGTACAAGCTAAATTCTGATTTGAACAGACTATATTTTGCTACTTTAAAATTCCCTACGTAGTTGCAATTGGAGAAGCTAGTTTTCAGTTGCTGAAATTCCCCTCTCCTAAGCCTAGCCAGCTCTCATCAAACACATCTAAATAGGATGTTGTGGCTGGGGGAGAAATGGTTGCCATAATCTGCTCGGGATATGACTGCAAAGTACCGGTGAGTGCTCCTGGGTGAATGTGGGCAAAAGATTGTCGTGACTTCTCTCAGTACATCTGGGAAGTACGCTTTTCAGGGAAGGTCTATGGAACAATTGGCTCATTGTCAGCTGCACCTGCAATTTGCCAAGTGCATTTATTCTTCAGATAAAGAAACAACATCTTTTCTGCAGTGAAAAACTTGATAATAGTGAAATTTTATATACTTGTACGACATCATAATCTCTTTTTTTTTATGCCGCAGTTATGACCACAGTGAAAAATTGTTAAAGATGTGCTTTAAGATCTTTTAAAATATGACAGCCTTTTGAATATAATTATCCTGTCCTTTCTGGTAATATGTCTTCTATTACAGACGCAGAAAGCTGCGTCACAGCTCAGTGGAAACTTTTTTTTTTTTTTGAAGGGGAAAGAGGTGAATTGGAAATGTGAATCTGTAATTTGAATCCAAGAAGAGAAGGAACTTACTTAGATTTGTATTCTGTCAGTGATGCTTTTCATTGTCTCCCTTCCCTTTTCTGTTTGGGGTGAGTGTCACATGGGCTAAGTAATGGTTTCAAAACTTTAATTAGATTAAGATAAATTTCCACTGAGCTTGTGACAGTAATGTTTCTCAGAAATCTCCTTTGTAAGTTTAGTATCTTGTTTTCGTAAGCTTTCTCATGTGTTTTCTTATGCTCCGTTTCTGTTTTCTGTTTCAACATGCGGGAGCTAGATGAAAATGTAGAGGACTGATATCCTGAAAGTGCCTTGAAGTGTTGTTGGAAGACTAGAACAGTGAATCCTCTGTCTTGGTGAAGGAACCATAAGGTGGCTGATGGTTGTGGAAGAATGTTTCCGCTTCCTCTGTGGGCAAAGTACTTCACAATTATCACTTAAAGGCTATTTGCTATTTTGGGTAGCACTTCTGCCAATGGTCACAGCTAGTAACTAGATCCTGAATGATGCATTTATGCTGCGGTAGAGGTTTTTAATCCCATTGTTGCTCTCGGGAACATAACTGGGCATTGCTTTGTCACTACAATTTAAACAAGGTTCTGACTGCTTAGACGGAGGAAGCTCTGTTACCTGTATTTGAGAAGTCATCCGCTCTCCGTGCCGGTTTTGTTGACCAAACAGAATCCCTTCATATTTCTTGTAATGTTTGCTGCAAAGACATATTGCTCACAAGAGCTTCAAGACTTTGAGGAAAGCAAGTGTCTGCGCCCTGATGTGGAATCAGTTACTCTGTTTCCACGTTTTAGAACTCCTGCCAATGTTTGTTTAGTGTCAGAAAATTATTTTCTTAACACTGCCTGTTTTCTATCCTGTTACCTTTCAAAGTTGAATAGAAACCCACAGATTGATGTTTGGAGTCACTAACGACTAACTTTTTCACTTATGCTTGGGTTCGAAGTGACCACATTTTGTGTTCAGTACTCTGTAATCTGAAAAAGTAAGATCAGTCATGCTGGTTTTATAATTAGGTCAGCATCATCAGTTGCCTTGCAGAATTTTCCAGATGTTTGGACATTCTTGTAGAGCTGCAGCCACCACTGTCCTTTCTTTACTGTTTCTCTCTAGAGCTGTTTGCAACTTCACTCACTTCTGTGGAAGCAAACTTTTTGTATTTAGTATTCACAGCTGTCTTTACCTGTTTACCTCTTCACAGAGCTCTTCTGAATGCTACTGTTCTGAACTTTTTGCTTTCTGGGGCTTAATCATGGCTTCTAGTTTAACAGACTGAAACAAGCCTGCTGAATTTGAGAATGTACTGTTATGCCTGTAAATTCATGGTAGTAGACAGGAAAATGAAAATCCATGTGATGTTTGAATAGGAACAATATAGTGATTTAGGTGTGTATTCAACAGGAAAGAATCTGTGTAAATATAATTCAATGTAAGGTAAGCAAAAGAAGTGAACATAAACTGTTTGAGCACTAGGGATGGACCCAGAAGTCAGATCCTCATGGAAATAACAGGAATAAAACCTTTAGGTTTGCCTTTTTTTATCTTAAAAAAAAATCAAAACAAAACACAAAACAACAAATAAAAGCTTTTATCGTAAACCTGAATTATAGATGGTTTGTAGAATGCTTGGGGATATTTCAGGTTCAATGGTACGATAAATAAGTAATCTTACTTGCTTCACCTATATTAATTTTTATATGGGTTGTCATGTAAACTAGTGGATGCTACTAAGTGAGGCCATTACTCACAGTAGTAATCAGTGGGGTCAAAGAACCATATCACTCATTAGAAGACAGCGCAGAGTCAGGCCAGGATGGTGTCGGTGGAGAGCGGACAGAGTACTGGTGGAGAGGAAGGAGGATGCTGAAAAGGTAGGGGGAGATGTTGGGTTTTGCATTTGGGGGGGGGCGGGCTTTCACATTATGGCTAGATAGCAGGTGAGAAAAAGCACCTGTCTGAGGTTTACTGGAGGGAGAGAAAGCAAGTGCATGCAGACATGATCTTTGACACCTTTTTGGTCTCCCCTTAGAAACCAAATATCTCCAGATGCTGGAGTATTTCTCTTTTTTGCCTTTTCAGTCCACTCTTTGTGACGTGGAAGACGGGGCGAGACAAGCGGCTTCGTGGCTGCATTGGGACCTTTTCAGCCATGAATCTTCACTCAGGACTCAGGGAATACACATTAACCAGGTAATTATGTTGAAAATGAAATGAATCAGATATTAGTTTCATTTGCGGAAGATCTATAAGGATTAAAGGTTAAGAAGTTGAATCAATAGTTCAGTTTAACATGCTTCACAACAAAATAAACATGAGAAATGTAGGAGAGTTAGGGTGAGGTAATGTATCAGGATTTAGGGGAACATCTTTGCAATGGGTGAATTTTGGTTGACATTTGAAGGCTCATGTCGAATCTATCTTGCATACTAACATTTTCGACATCTTACACAGCACATCATTTCTCTCCAGCTGCAGTAAGTGGAGGACAGTGTCGGGAACCTTGCACTAGTGTTTGCGTATTACAGTTCATTAGATTAGGAAGAGATGCAAATCACTTCCTCTGCAGTAGCAAAGAGAAACGTGTTTCACAGAGGAATAATCAAGAAGGGAATAACTAAGCATCTGACACTTTAATTTGGTGCTTGTATTAGGCGATGTATCGTCTCTTTCCTTCAGTGCACTTAAGGACAGCCGATTTCCCCCCCTGACCCGCGAGGAGCTGCCCAAACTCTTCTGCTCTGTCTCCCTCCTCACTAACTTTGAGGATGCCAGTGACTACCTGGACTGGGAGGTGAGAACAGGTGCATTTGGAACTCTGCATCACTCTCTCGTTCCGTTCGGGTTCGGGTTAGTACATGGTGATGTGTCTCCTTCGTTACAGGGGTGTACGGGTATTGAAACTGGGAACAGAAGAAACGGGGCTGGAAAAATAGAAGGGAGGAAGAGGATGGGCTAGCAGTGTGCTTTTGGTTGGGAGGGGATCTGAATGGGAGTAAGAGAGACATGAAAGTGTTTCATGGATTTGACCCAGTAGCAGATGGGTGTAAATACATATGTAAAAACCTGGGAAGTATGGTGATGCTGTGAATAGAAACTGCGAATAAAAGTAGTTAAGACCGAAGGTATTAATCATTCTTAGGACCTTGTACATGTATTTAGTTCAAGAAGGATTAAATAGACTTTGTGGTTGGGATATTTTAAGCATGGTTCTTGTGTAGAGGTCTTGCCTTTCTTGCCTAACTTAAGAGACGGAAAACTGTCAGACTTCTGACGAGACTTGCTTCAGGAGGAGTGGCAGGGAGACTGGTTAGGCTTGTCTGCGAAAGGTGGCGGAGGTCCTTTAGCTCTGCTAAGAGATCTGCTTGTGAGACCTGTCTGGCGAGGACAGAGAGTCGGGAAGAGAAATGTCCTTGTCCAGGCAAAAGCCAAGCTAGCCAGAGAGAGAGAGAGATACACAGTGTTGTGGGAGTGGCAACTCGATCATGGACTCAGTGCTAGCAAACACCTCTTATTTGGCTATTCATTTCCATCTGTAGGTTGGGATCCATGGGATCAGAATAGAGTTCATCAATGAGAAAGGCGTGAAACGCACAGCCACGTATTTACCTGAGGTTGCTAAGGAACAAGGTGGGTTTGAGACGGCAGCCAAACATATCAACACAATGTGTCACAGAATTGGGTAACATAAATCTGGAATTTGGGTTTGGATTGCAATGCTATCCTCGTAGTAGTGCCATGGAGCCACCAGGCTTAATCTGGATAACTGACACCTGATACAGCTGCTGCTGGGTTTTCATCTGGCCTTTCTCTCATCCCACATCTGCGCACAGCTGTATCTTAGCGTAAAAATGTTTTAGGGCTTAAGAAATAGAGGATCTCAAAGTATGGATCTTCCAGCTTCATTCAGCGTTGCATCTTTCCTCTTCTATGTTTCTCCCACCAACTAGGATAACTGCAGGCTGCACAGCACCAACAGGAGAGTCCCTTTCCTCCTCATTCTTGCTAAAGTAGCATCCTCCAGATGAGGGCAGGAAACAGGGCCCCTCTGGAGCACACTTCCCACTCAGATATAGTAGTGGTCACCATGGTAACTGCTCAAAATATTGCCTCCTTTCCTCCACCTAGCAGAGTGGAGTGGTCGCATCCTCCTGGCTCTGGGGCAAAAGACTAAGGTAGGAATTTTAACTCTGATCTCTCACATAGCAGTGCACTGTGCTATCACTAGAGCATCAGGTTGATCCCAGTTTGTCTATGTAAAGAGCTAAGTATTACCTTATTTTAAGGCTTAGGGAGCTAAACTTGAGTGGCACGTGACAAAACTGTTTGGGGTCCCTGCAACAGAAGCAAGGCACGGACCTTTATAAGAAGAGAGGTCACATGGAAAATGGAATTACTGTCTTATAGACCAGTTCCAATATGAGTTAAAAGGGGTTGGCATGTGCCGATAGTGTGCATGCATAAGACCACGTATGTCCAGTTCAACACTGGTATTTCTAAAGCTCAAAGTTTCATGTTTAGTTGTTTGCTTTTCTAGAGGCCTTTTAATGCATCTTTTATCTTTTTGAAACATCATTTTCATACTGAAAAATTCCCCTTGCTTCTATTTTTCAATAGACTGGGATCAGATCCAGACCATAGACTCCTTACTCAGGAAAGGTGGCTTTAAGGCTCCAATTACCAATGATTTTAGGAAAACAATTAAACTCACCAGGTAAGTCGATGTATTTGTCGTCTTTTAATTTTACTTTATAATGTTTTGTGGGTAATTTAAAGTATTTGTGCTTGATGTAAGCCTTCATGCTTCTTTCAGGTGAGAGATGTAGTCTGAAAAACAAAATCATAAATGCCACGTTAGGCATATAATGTGTATAGAACGAAACACAACATGCTCAGTCTGTGCAGGATTGAAGCTGGCATTTTTTAAGAGAAGTGCCACTGCTTTTAATACTATCATCCACATGAACGATCAAAAGAAGCAGAACCTCTGAAAGTTTAAAAAGGTTGATTTTTGTGTATCTTTACAATGGACTTCCTTTTCTCAGTGTACTCATCTGCGGATGGTGTAGCTATTTGGAGATGACAGCTGTCTTCAAACCACACTCAAATTTGGCTGGTTTTCAGAATCTGCTTGCTTTTCTATACCCCCAGCTGTCCTATTGGTTTCAGCTCCCTTTGTGTTAGTAAAAATTGGGACATTCTGGTTTTGTATAGAAACACTGATTTATCAGGTCGTTCCTTACCTCTGGAGAAATGAGGTGGATGTGTGGGGGTTTTTTTAACAGGAGAGGACAGGATGAAGATTTTCATTAAAATCTGGTGTGACATGGACTTAGTGCAATTCACGACCACTTTGAAGTTATCTGTTGTGTAGCACGCTTTACCTGGAAATCTCTGGTGTCTCAGAAGGGACTTCATGTTTTGTGAATTCTGATTGTACAACGTGGACTAAGTCACGTATATGCTATAATAAACCTCCCTTTACCCAACTTTCCATCGTTTTCTTTCAGTACCTTTCAAATGTGAAGATAACTACAAAAGCAAATAATAGTGAAATACTGGTTATTTAGTCTCTGAAGCAGAGTCTTCTTCCAGGAAACTTTTCATGCCCTTTTTTTTTCCACAGCAAGTGGATAAAAAGAATACAAACGGATCCTTTGTCTCCTGTGCGCTACTTCAGGAGTCCCCTTAATTACGATTGCCTTGAACAGGGCTCAACTTTTGGGACACTGAAGCTAATTCAGGCTTAGATGGGTTATTCAGACTACTGCATGAGGCAATATCAAAGTAGTTTACGAAGTTAGTGGGTTCCTCTTGGTCGTTATTGGCTGTGAGCTAAAAGGTGATCTGGGATGAATGTTTTTGTCTAGTCCTTTCCTAGTGCATAGCCTGTTTACGTTATTTTTTCTTACGCTGTTCCCATAGGTACCGCAGTGAGAAGGTGACAATCAGTTATGCAGAATACATGGCTTCCCGTCAGCATTGTTTCCAGAACGGCACTCTTCATGCCCCCCCCCTCTACAATCATTACTCCTGACACACGGCTGCATGACCAGTCCCACTCCCCAGTTGCTGCCAACGGTTACGACATCATTGGGGCAGATGCCTCCTCGTCCTGGTCCAGTTACTTCTATTACTGCACCATTTTATGATGCTAGCTTCCGTTGCCAAGTCTGCCTTCCAGCTGACCTGGGGGGAGGATGAGAGCGTGACAGAACTTCAGGGGCCCAAGCCTTATCTCAGCCTTCCCTCAGAACGGGGGTTCAGTTGGATTGGGGCTCCATGCCTACGAACTGTCGTGAGGTGCAGAAGACCTCTAGGAGTGAAAGCGCCGCTTCGGACTGATCCGTTCTTGTGTGTTACCGACACTCTGGAAACTGGAGTTGTTCGTTATGGAAGCCCCCCCAGATCAAGTAGGAGCATTCCCCTGGCAGCCTGGGCAACGGAGTCCAACAAAACATTTTTTAGGTTCTTTTTAATTTTTTTTAACCTCTGGTATCTGTTGTGTACCGAGAGCTGATTGCAGTCCCTGCACATCACAGGCGGACATTATGATATCGGGGAGGGTAGAACATCCGGGTAGCACCCCATCCTCACGGACAGAAAACACTGAAAGATGTGAAAAACCTTTGGATGGTATTGCAGATTAATCCATTATTTAAATAAAGCCTAGAAGGCTTTAATTATCGGACCCCACTGTAGTCTGTATTCTCTACAAGTTCTCTTGGTTTACAGTTTCCTGGGTTTTTAGACAGTGCTTTGTAATGTAGCCTGCTATGACACAGAATGCTGTTATGCCTGTAAGAGAGCAGCATGGCACATGCCGTGTATGCAAAGGGCAAGGTACTCGAGTGTCCCTGGACAGTCTTCTCTGTTACAGCCAAGTTTTGTGTCCAGACAGAGTATGACTGGATTAGGGATGGGGAGGGATTTGCAGGGCATTGACTGTAGTCGTGTAAGTGAGACTAGTGACTGAAATTTTTTTAACTTAAGCTAACAGTCTCGGGGACCTTCCTTTTGATAGGACAGCCACTTTCTCTGGTGTGACTATCGATCTTGAGAACTGTGAGTATGCCAGTTTACAGCAGGCCTATGGAATAGAGCTATGTAGTTTCACTGTGAAGTTAGTATCTTACGCAGTTTAGTCATTGCCACATCAAGGCAACGAGTGGGGAAACCTGTGTTACCCAAACTGTGTGAGACTCGTGCGTTCTGTGTTTCTTCGCTCATCGTTGATGATTACAAGAAATACTCTCATCTCAGAGGAAGATGAGTTATCCAGTGTTTGTTCTGCAGCATCATTGAGGGATGTCATAAACTCTAAATTATGACACTCGGTGAGGTCACTGGACTTCAAAATATAATTTTGGGTTGGTTTTTTGTTGTTTTCTTTTCCAGGTTTCTGGAGGGTCAACAATGATCAGGAAAGAAAATACAAGTGCATAGCAGAGCAAAGGCTATTTGGTTGTCTATATCTTTAAAGTTTGCTTGTGTGTGGTAATGATGGCTTTTAAAAGTGGCTGGTGCTTCAAGCCTGAAATTCTCTCCTGGTATGGCAGGGAATAGGGCTGGTAGAAAGCTCAGAACTGCGTGCTGCTGCTCCTTCTGGTCCTAGAGAAGCAAACAGAATTGTGGAATTGTGCAGTTTTGCTTCATGTTGGTGTAATGTTCAGCTGGAGGAGAGAGACGTGAGGGAAAGGAGGGGGTCCTATCCTGGATAACGGTGCAATATCAACCCAGCTGTCCTCCTGTACTGGGTCATTCTTATAAATTGCCACTTTTCCCTTGTGATGTTGTTGAAAAGCAATTGAAGATCAAGGGATTGTTTCATGGTTTCCTGCTGCTGAGAATAAATTGGTCTTGTTACAAACTCGAGTGGTTTGTAATTACTCTCCCAGGTGCCGCGTAGTGATGGGGGAGGGCGGGGTCAGCTCTGGACATACCGTTCACCTTTCAGCTGTCAAACAGTATGATACATAGGGCTACACTCATCACTGTTCAAGTGTTCTATGTTAGAATTTAATTTCTAAAAGGTTTAAAAAAAGCAAAAAAATGGTGCTAAAACTTCACCCCTGAGCACGCTCAGTGAGACTGGTCATGCAGGCATATAGTGCCAGGCTTTTCAACAATACTGTTCCTTTTTCAAATGTTTGCCCTGTTCTGTGTCTTCAGCAGTGTATAGTGTTTTCCTGATTTCATTTTATTTGAATAGGGGATGACTAAGGGGTAGGGTGGGGAGGGTTAGCTGTCATTTTTAAAGAACAGAATTTTAGGATTGAGTGACTTGGTTTAAGCCTGAAGTGGGCTAGATGGTTTGGGACTGGGGAAGCCTCATCCTCTCCCACTTCCATTTCCCCACTCAGACTGTTTAAAGAAAAACAAAAATGCCTCTAAATATGTACTGTGTTCTTGTCTTGTTGCAGTGAGAAGATAGCAAATCAGAAACACTGGTCTGCTGCCTAAGAAACAGGCCCTCTCAGCTTTAGTCCCATAAGGGTCCAGCTATAAAATCGGTTGAAAAGTGTGTCAGTAGTTAAGTTGGCTCAGAAAAATGTATGGCAAGGACAGGTGGTCTCAGGAAATAATCCCATTTCTAGATCATTACATGGCAGCTATGCGTAAGGATGAAAGAGGTGAACTAGAAACCAAAACGTATTCTGAGTTGCCTCAAGATGGAGACAACCAAAGTCAGTGGCCAATTGATTTAGTAATTTATCCATGGTTACTTGGCTGGGACTCTAGCAACTGTTACCTGGTTTGATCTGGACTTAACTCATCCTTAGAAGCAAGTGCCTTTTGGTCTAGAAGGGCTTATTCTCATGACAACCACAACTGAGAAATAATCTCACTGCAATTACGAATTGTCTTTGTTTTACAGTAACTACAGGAGAATGTCTTTGATCACTGGAGTCTGTCAGTGTTGGAATGTTTCCACTGTGAGGTTCTTAATTTTCTTTTTATAATGTTCAACAGTCAAACCTCAGATGAGGCCATTTCAGTTTGGAAGGCTTTATGGTCAAAATATCACATATCTACAATTTATCAGAACAAAAACAAAAAATCTCTAAGAAAATCTAAGAGTTCATTTTAACCTTTGCACAGAATAATGTGTTTTCATAGTACATTAATAAACATTGCAATCTTCACTGACTATTAGTGCTGTTTTCTGTTTGTATTCTGGAAACTATATGTTGTTTTGTTGGGTTTTTTTGGTTAATTTATTTCCTTAAAGCAGGAGACCTCTTTTGACCTTCAGTGCGGAGATGTCAGACCAATTCTTTGTATTACACTTGGTTGCCTCCTACCTATATAATAACTTCTGAGTGTAAATAACTGAACTCTATCCTCTAATGAAGTATTGTAGAGAATAAACCATAATGGATAAAGATTACTTGTATTGTCCTCTTTATATGGTTTCTCACCGCCTTTATGGGAGAGAAGATGAAATCTTTCTCATCTAGAAAGATGAACAATATACTACATGTATGAATACCAAACCTCTAAATTACATTAAACATTCAGAACCAGGGAGGGTGCCAGAATGGGATGACAGCTGTCTGGAAGCATAGAAATAATCAAGACAGTTTTGCGAGAAGAACGTGAGGAGAAACAGTAGAAAAATTAAAAACAGGGATTAAATATGTTTCATTAATAATAGTATAGCAAAGTATCTTTGTATCCTGAAATAATGTTTGCTTGACAATAACTCTCTATTAGTTGTCATGCTGGTGAAACATATAAAGCACATACATGCAGAATTCTGTATCATACTGAAAATCCTGAATTTGTAAATCTGGCTTAAGCTACCAAAACTGTTACTTGGGTTTTTTTGTCTTTTAAAATGAACTAATGAAAACAGATTGTATGTACTTCACATGTTGTAGCCTTCAGGTGATCTAAAACTGTTACTGCAGAAAAAAGAAACACTCATCTTTCTAGATTGTTACTACCTATTTTAATGTTTGCTTTGGCACGGGATCAGTTGATTTGTGCAGTAGTTCTGATGTGCATACCTCTGGCTTAAATGTTTTTTTTCCATACACTTTCAGGTTATTGCTCATTTTTTATTTACAGCAGATGCATAGTTAAAGATCCTACGTTTCCTCTTTGTGGTTCTTGGGAAGGGCAGCCTTGGGTATCAGTAAACAACAGGTGTAAGACCCCCAAAAAAACCCCAGCCAAACCAAGGGGGAGGGTAGTTTTGACTTAAATATGCCTGAGAAGCTCATTGACTTCAGTGCAACTACAAAGCAAAAACCTGTTTTCAGAAAGTATGCTTCTGGTACTAAGTAAAGCTCGAAAATAAGTCCCCTATGGGATATGAGGAGTGGGTTGAGGAGGACTTCTGTGGCTAACCTGATTTCCAGGTGACTCATGGTAAATTCTAAACTGAAAAACTAGCATCCACTGCTGTCATGTGCCCAGGTAAGTTACGAAGTGTATTCTCTCAGCTTCTTTGTTGGCTAGAATACAGAGACTTATTTATGGCATATGTTTCTCCTTACTTGATGTTTTTGGTTTCACATTGAATCAGTCAGACGTAAAATCTTTGTCCGGTGTCTTTCATCAGAGGTTCTTTCATGCATGTTGCTTTCTGTAACTGCAGTAACACTCAGCAGCTCACAGTGAAGACAGGGCCAGGGAGAAGGGTGTACGTATGACTGCACACTGAAATAGTTCCATCTAGACTAAATATAAATCAGGATAATTCTCCAGACGCTTTCCTCTGGTTTTACTTCTGTCCGAAATAAGAAACAAAATTAGTCATTTAGCACTCACTTCCTACTAAAAACACATTACAGAAGGTTAGGAGAAATCTCTACAAGAGACTTCAAATGAAGAATACTTGAGCATTTTTATTCGAAACACAAAAAAATAATTTATTTTTTGGACAAAATTTGTATTATAAGCTACCAAATTGTGATTGAGAAATGCCAGTTCTTGAGGATAAAAATTACAACCAGAACACTTTCCCATGTGACTCAGTAAGTTTATTTATACTGACCTATGTATTATGAGGACTGCTCTCAAACTGAATTGTAGTACATGGAGCAGTAGCATAGAAAAGTTTCTAAACTGGTTTTGCTACAATCTGGGAAAAGATGACCTCTGAATATGTTTGATGATCACTCCCAAAACACAGAAAGCCCAGAAGACTATTGTTTCCACGTTCCTTAAAACAAGTATTTAATTCTACAAATTGACCAATATCCAGATTACTGAACCATAATTTTTTTCCTTTTTTATAGTCAGCTAGACTACTCTTATAATCAGATGAATTCTGACATAAATTATGCATTATGCAACCAGCTGATAGTATGTTTAGCTGCATCATATATGCATTTAAAAACTTAACAGGTCATGCAAGAGCCAGTTTTGCATTCAGACGCTTGTGATCACTTTATTACTGGGTATTACTCTATATTGCTCATTCATTATAGTTTTGGCTATGTAATTTTAAATGGAGTAAAAATAAATGGAGGTACAATAGTATGAAAACCTAAATTTGAAGAGTTATACTTTAAGAACACAGATGAAAAAGCATGCGTCTTGTGCAGTAATTGCCATTATGGCACATGGTATTCTGAGTGGGTGATGCTGTAGCCACAAGGATTTTGACCTATTCCTACAATGTACTAGAAATGTTAACGATAATAAAAATAGATTAAGGTCTCAAAATCCTTATCACTTTTAATCCATCAAAATCTTTGCATTTTTATGTGGGGGGTTTTGACGCTCCACACAAACTGCATAATTACTGCTAGAAAGCTTAAAAACTGCTAGGAATAAAACATTCCTTCTGCTGGCAAATTAGAAGGAAAGCATACTACAAAATATGGTTATACTAATAATAGAACATCCTTGTTATTCATTCTTCCTTTATTTTATTATGTGGAGGTATTTAGCCAAGCTTTTCTTAAGATCTGTGTTGGTGTCATTAGTTGTTTGCTAGGTCCGTTTTTAAACTGTGGCAACACAGAAATTACGATAGTATGTCTGTCTAATAATCCACTACCTAATAACCTATGTCCAGTAAGAGTCAATACTTTTTCTGTCCTGGAATATGGAATACTAGAGGCTGTGTTCTCAATAAATTAGATTTGGCCAAATATTTTTTTTCAATCAGTTCATTTTAGGATAAGACCAGTAAATATGCCTGAACCTACAGTCATTCACTTTATTTTAATCTAGCTCATCTTCCTTTTTTATGCACATTTTGCCATCAAATGGATAAATGCTGAAACGGTCATTATTAGTGAGGAAGAAGCCACTGCATTCTAAAAATAACAAGGAAAAAATCAGGTGCTCTTATGGTTGGTTTGTTGCAGTAGCTGAACAATATTTACTGTGTTTTTTTAAGTGCATTTTTAATATTCTTAAAAAAAAGGGGGGGGAGGGGAAGCAGGTTCCATTCAGCAATATTCTTATTTGTCTCTTATTTGACTCTTGAGATCTTCACCAAACACGTCGGTGATAATGAACCTTTATCTTCCATGATAGTGTCTTTAGCTGTACCTAAACCTCTTGCAAGTATCTGGCTTTCTCTTAACTGTTTTCGTCTTTGTACACTTAAGTAGAACGGATCCTTGGGGAAAAACAGAAGTGAAATTAGTAACTTAAAGCTCTGCAAGCTACCTATTGCCCTGAGAATCATGATCTGAGTAGATGGGTTATTTCAGCAGCCATCAGGATTCCCAGTGCTTTTAAATGCTTCTCTCGTCAATCTGTCATGGATTTCCTTGTTTTCTTGTAAACCTAATTGAAATGGTTTCATTTGCCATATGTTCTCTAAGATACCCTCATTCCATCTTTCTGAGGAAATCAGTTCTCAACCAGTTTCTCTGCCATGCTCGTTTATCCAGATCACAAACGTTAAAAATCTATGACTGGACCCCTTCATATTGTTGTAGTTTACTCTTAACGCGTTCCTTTCCCCAGCATGCAGGAAACAATTCACCTAGGCACGGACGGCAAGTTCATGCGAACATGAGTGGTTTCATCATAAATCCTCCAACAGCCTAATTTTGCCTTTCTTTATGGTGCAGGATGACATATGAAGGTCTGATTAAGATGATTACTTTAAGACTCTTAGGCTGGTTAGGCACTTACATGTGAGCTCTCCAAGGAAAATACTAGTCCCTAAATTATTCTGCTGGCAGCGTTCCCCTGACTTAGCATCGAGAGAGCTTTCATCGTTTTTCAGCCTGCCTATGCCTTTCAGGGGTCTGCAGGCTACTTCTGGAGAGTCTGCAAAAGTAACCTCCCTTTGAAGCGTGTTATTTCCAGCGTCAAGACTCTGTCCTCACAGAATGAGGTGTATTAATCTCAGGGTGCTAGACAGAAGCTCCGCTACGGACAGCTGCGTTTTCCTAAGGGAGGGTTTGCTACCTGATTTCCTAAACGGCCGAGCTGAAGGAGCCTTCCTCCGGGTTTGCTCCCTCCCGGTTCCCTCCACGGCCTGCTCTCTCAGGCAAAACCTTGGGCCCGCAACGCCTCGCCCTCTCACGGCGATCTGGCCGGTCTCCACAGACGTGCACACCGCCCCTCCTTCCCGCCCCGCCTCAGCGCTGA